TGGAAAGCTGAAATTGCCCCTAAAACATTTGACATGGCTCAAGCCAGGAGTTGTTGATCACAAATGTTTATTACATACCAGAAAATAAATTGTAGAAGCAGGAAGTAAATCCATCCCACTGAATAATTCTGCTGGTTTCTTTTGGATATTTTAATTAGTTCTCTATGAACACCATATCTTGGTCGGCCATTAAGCAACCACATCATAAAACTGTGAGAAATTGTATAATGTGATTCCTAATACTGCTTAATGGTGGAAAGGCTTTTTAAAATACATAAACTGTGGTTTTTGAAAGCTCATAAAAACTAGCCTGCTGTTCTCTTCCAGATACTTGCGGTTAAAATAATACAATTTTCTACTGTGTACCGCCTACACTAATGGTTTTCTTATCCCGAAAAAAAAAAAAAAGAATTAGCACAGAATTGACAGGTTAGATTTATTTATTTATCTATTTTGCTGTCACACCAGAGAAGCAGTTTTGCAAATAAGGTAAAAAAAGGTCATGGTTTTGGTTCCTAGTAAACATTTGTCTATTGATTCTTGCCCACAATGCCTGGCCAGCATTGTGGCATTGAGGAGCAGATGGACTATTGTTGTTTGATGGTGTGTCATCACAATAACTCTGTTTTCCTGACAAACTCACCCGTGTCTTAACGGCTGTCCACTGCTCTACTAATTCTCCTACATCTCTCTAGGTAGAGATGTACTCGAAACGGACGTTTAGACATGTATAATAAAACATAAAGACCTTGTTTTATGCAGATGGTTAACTGGGAAAAACCAGTGCTGACATACTCTCAGGTACAGCAACATTTTTATTTTTTAAGCTGAAAAACTATGTGTTCATATTTTAGTTATTTTGATATTCTGAAAAGCCTTTGCTGGATAAACTGTATATAGACATATAAAAATAAATGATTATTTTTGATGATTTGCACATCAGGTGAATACAGAATTTTGTTGCAAATGACATAAGGCTAAATATATAATGTTAAGATTTTTCAATTAGAGGAGCTCTTCAGTTTAAAGATGTTAGATGTCAGCTACACACGAGGAAGATTTAAACACATGTTGCATTAGTTTCTAAAGCATCCCCAACAGGATTTGAATTACTCTGCAGTTTGGGGTTGTGTTTCAATTTTCTCTTCACATTGATTCATTTTTCAGTGTTTAATGGGTCTACACTATGAACAGGACCATTTAGGTTCTTGACAGCCATTCCGCTGCAATAGAGAAAGTAGTTGGGCAATGTTACATTTAAATAAACAAGGCTTTTACTGGAAAAGATGTTCAAAAGGTGGCTTTAGACTTAAAAAACCTGGATAAAAATGCCTGGTGCCCGTCATAAGTCATGAAAAGCAACAATGGGGTAGTCTTAACTTTTTTTCTTTCCAGCTGCGGAGCAGAAAAAGCAGTATGTTTTGAATAAAATTCATATACATACCGACAAGAATTCTCAGAAACATTTCTGAGTCTGCATATCAACTTCCACCACATATTTCTGTCTGTCTAATTTAATCTTGAAAAAAGCTGATGATCACGTATCTTCTCATATCCATGTTTTTGTTTGTCTTTTCAACTGTTGACAGGATAAAATTAATTACTATTCAATTGGCTAAAAATCAATTGCTAATCCATTGAATTGATCTAATGTTATCTTTTGCATCTTTACCATCTTTTGCATCTTTACCATCTGCCATCTTATGGCATTCGGTAAATCTAAAATCACCAATAAATCGAACAGGAATGTTTTAAATGGGATGAAATTATAGTTTCTACACAGACTATAAGGACATGTACATCTCTTAGATCTGAGCTGAACTCAGAGCCTTCTTTCTGTGAGACAACAGTGCTTCAGCTATTTCAATATTTCTTTGAAGTTCCTAGTTGCTTTTGCCTTTTCTCTGCAACCTTTGCTATTGCTTTGATTATTTTATATTTGCTTTTGTCTTTCCTTTATTGCTTTGCCAATTTCACATTGCTTTTGCTTTTGTAATTATAAAATATCAAATGTTATGCATAATATTTGATGTATTAATATGAATATTTGCTGATTAAATGAACAATTAGTGATTAGTCATTAAGCCCCTTTTTTCAAACGTTCTGCTCTATAAGTCTGTTTCAAATTAAGCTGCTGTGATGTTAAGAGGTTGCTTCAGTGGTAAAATCTGAACTCACACAGACATTTATATGACAGAATTTATCTGTGTGATTGGGATTTGACATGTAATGCTGACTGCGTACATGGTCAGCATCTGCCAGTGATAAACAATTCAAATGAACCATATTTCATTTTAAGGGAGAAAAAAAACTTGTGAAAATAGATCCACTGGCTATATTAAATATCACTTGATATGGAAAGCTACTGAGACATTCACACTGGAAGTGCTGCATTCCACATGCAGGCCTGCTGTCCTCATAATCTCCATGCCATCTGGTGGGGAACTTCACTGTCTCCTAGCACCCCTGGCTCATCAGTATTCCCCTCACACTGAACAGAAAAGATCATTGTTTGTGACATTTCTCAAAAACAATGAAAAGTCAACACCGATAAGGATTACCTGAGAAGTTAGGGGTCCTACCGTCAACAAACTGAACCCATTTTAGGTATTACGAGCCCTTTTTTCATCCATTTGTTTTACATGACTTTTTAAAATACATTTGTTCTTACATTACATGAAAAATGATACTTACCTGCTTCTTGCTTTATTACATTTTTATTAACTTCCCTTTTTGGTTAAATACTTTTAAAGGAAAACACTATCTACAAGATATTTGGACTTGAAACTTCAAGTGTTTTTTGCAGAATTCAGAGTGAGCTGTGATCAAAGTCTCATTTCTTCCTTTGGAAATCCACATGGCTTCTAATAATTGCTACAGTGTGAAAACTTCACCGACAGAAATTGTACTGCTATTTGTAGCTTTATATGTGACAGTGGTGCTATGCATGCAATGAAGTATTGCAGGTGTTTTCACATTTGTTGATTGGGAGTATTTATTGAGTTCAGACAAAAATCTGAGTGTATTTTTGGTATTTGTAAAGCTTAGTGGTGCCACATTATGGAAGCTTTTCTATGGGAACAGATAGCTGATGTCTGATGTTAACATCTAGGGTGGTTTTTGAAAGACTTTTTTTGTCAGGAACGCTGTGTGTTTGAATTTCTTAAATGTGCAATATGTAAAATGTATGAAAACTTTGTAGAGTTGTCTGGTTTGACATATAACTGTTATTCCATTTTTTACTCTGGGCCCTCTGAATTTGACCTCTAACTTAATCAAGTGTCTAGAGTGGCCTATTTTATTGAGAAAAGTCTGTTGATCCCATATTAACACCCTGTTTGAGCACGTGTTCATATTCTATTACCACCAGAAACTGATACTGATGCATGTATGTGTATCTTTATCATAAATACATAATGGATCTATACATGTGAATTTACAGAGATGCAAAACTCTTTGGTTCAGTTAACACTTTAAAATATGCATTGAAATCTCAGAATTCATTATATTTTGCAGCTATTTATTGAGTTCTAATCTTTAACTTGACAATGTTTGTACACCTGCCTATTGGGACCACCCTTGAATAAATAGAGTATGCAAATCTGCAAGCATTTGAAAATGTTGTGAAAAGTGTAGTGTTTTCTCACTAACAGCCCAATGTGTGTGTTTAATATGCTAAATATTCTATATTTATGATACATTTATCTTTGCTTTGCAGCTGCTTTGGCTATATTTTCCCTAAGGGATGCATGAAGTTCATTTCAATTTCAATCCTCACAAAAACCTTTGTGCAGACCTAGGACAGATTTATTCAGCAGTGAGGTGATGAAGAAATCGGAATATTATCCATTTGTAAGTTCTGTATGACCAGTGTTGCCAATAATCAGCGCAAACCTGAAAGGGAGGAAAGTGAAATACATTGAATATGAAGAAAATGAGGCATGAATAAAGAATTGCATTCAGCTTGCTTGCTGCTGTGCTTCATTTCCCTCCAAAAACCCCATGGCCTTGTTGTGTTTCTTATTTTCCTCTAGTAGCTGATGGATACATTATTAATTTATATATCATTATCAAGTGAAACATGGAATAAAGACTTTAAATCTGCACACAGTGAGTTCATGTATCTAAGATTCCATCCACACTCATTCACAACAATCCTACAAAGTAAAAAAGCTTTGACCAATACCCCCTGCTAACTTGCTATCTAGGTTGCAGGATGGTTGTATAAATCTTCAAAGAGGCATATACTCTTGAGATCCAAAAAGATGGGGTAAATATTCAAACAAGTAATGCTGGGCAATGAAATCACATTTTTTCACTGCAGGCTACAATGTGTAGTGCCATGAAATTGGAATTGAAATATAAATTAAATTTGTCCTTACCTTGGAAAAGTCTATGCTACATAAGATTTGAGTATGTTTTGTGTTTATTGTTATCTAATAAGTTTTATCAATCAAATAAAGTTTGCAAACAAAACATGATAAAAAACATCCAACAGAATGGACTGAAATAAGCAAAGCCCTTTGTTAACACTGTAGTCTTAATCTTTATTTTGTCACAATTGAATGTCAAATATATATACGTCTATATGACATATATTATATGACATATAATTTTATTTCTTTACAATAGAGAAACAACATAGAGATGACACACTATTTTGGTTTCTAAGTAGAAGCTCCCTTTAAATAGTGGCATTTTTTTCAATACACTGTTAAAGTCAAGCTCCCACTCAAGTCACGCTTTTGTTTTCCTTTTTGAGTCACATTTATTCACAATGTGTGTTTGTTTGTCTCTTTTTATCAGTGATTGAATGTATTTTGTGTCAATTATTTTTCTTCAGCAGTTCAATCTGTCCATGTTCCTTCAGAATCAATGGCCATCTGTTATTGGTCCATGTGGCCACACAGATGGTCCCACCTGCTAACCAATCTGAGCCCCAAGCAAAGGTATACAGTTATTGGAAACGGTGTCTTTGAAGCTTTACACAGTTAATCCAATCAGCTTGCAGAGGGCTTTGCATAAGTGTTTCCAGTAACTCTGCAGCTGGGTCCTTTAGTGGCCAGAAAGCAGTTTGCGCCTCCCTTCACCAGAGATGTCTGACCTTGGCACTGTCCCTTGACTTCTTTTTGACCAGATGCCTTCAGACCTCTGGTTGCACTGCCCGTGTGTAGTGCTCTGGTTGAATATTGGACATTTCCTTCCTCTGACTCCTGCACAGTCCCAGCTTCAAGCATGTTTTTGCCATGGTGGTGGAATTCGATGCAAAATCCAGAAGTTTTCTTGGGATTGGAGAGGTGTTTCTGGTTGAAATCCTTGGAAAACTCTGCACTAAATTCGAAAGGGCAGGGTGCATTTGCAGACCTGATGTCCTCCGATTCCAGTGGATTGCAGGTGATGGCAGGGGGGCTAACGTTTCTGGGCAAAACACTATTCATCAACATAACAGTCTCTGGCTGAGAGGAAGGATTGCTAACTGGTGGTTCAATCTTCCCAGCAAGTGCAGGGTGCCACTTGATGGGCCCGGGTTGGTTTTGCTCACCACTGTGCACATGCTCTGTCTCAGAATCACATGCTTGGAGTGATGGGATGATGGGCACAGAGCGGGTGCGCATGGAAGATGGAAGGAGAGTTGTTGCTTTATCTAGACGTGTGCATGGGACCTCCATCCATCCTTTTCTGGCAGTAAAATTAGTAAGAGGAGTCTTGGTGAGGAAAGTTCCAATTCTTCCAGTGGCAGAATCACACCTTAAGGCAAAGGAGGGAAAAGCAATGAGACATTAAGAATGTAAGACCAAGTCATTTACATCACAACCTCCACTATACTCATTTCTTGCAAGGTACAAACGTGTAAATGTAGATAACATTTTATTTAAAAAAAATCTTTTTACTTTGACTCCACAGGAATAACCTTGCACCACCATAACTATTGTTTAGTAATCATTTGCAGTATTTTGCAGCAAAAGCCTGTGTTTCTGCTGTTTAAATGATTAAAAGAAATCGCTTTTCTTTGTACTGCCTGGTCCGTTTTATCATACGCTGTGCAAACACTGACCCTGGCCTTTGCAGATATGCCGGTATGCTCGACCTGCAGCTTTACACAGCATCTCATTAGTCTTATTACATTATGATATATAACATACTTCATCTGACAGACTTAAGATGTAACATTTAGAATGAATATAGGCCCCCACATTGGTATCGGCAGCTGCGTTTGAACTACTATTCTTCCTGGATAGGTATTCCCGTTGAATGAGAGGTTGAAAACACTATGTTTGTTTGGAAGATAAAGCAATATAAGAGGGATCTCATCAAAAGACAAGGGTAAGTGTGTATTTTTGTTTGAAGTTTGTGCACAGGACTTAATACTGTTACTGTAGCACACAGCCTTAGGAGGGAGCCAGTCTTATTGTCAGCCTTCAGAGGCTCTTTGTAGCATAACCAAGTTTAAATAATTGAATTACTTTTCCACTCTTTCTTTATTTTAGAAAGGTAAATTCAAGGCAGAGGTCAATCTGGACTATCTAAAATAACTCTCATGGCAAATTTGAAGTACCTTCTGTCCCTCTATGTGATGGGAAAATGTTTTGCCACAGTGTACTAAACTTGACAGCTGTGAGTTGTCACATAATCTGAAGCACATGACTTGTTCGTGTTCTATTTTTGCGTATTTGTTTGTTTTTTAATACTTTTTTTCTACTGTACAACACATTTTTATTTCTCCACACTCACACACACTCCACAATCGTGTCTGCCCAGACCCCCTTCTGTCCTCACATTCCCTTTCCTGGTTCTCTCACTTTCCTTTCTACCTCCTGTTTCTCATTTGCAGAGATGAGAGGGTGTATCCATGGCAACACAGGAGATGAGGGGGCAGTAGGAGGAGGAAGAGGAGAAAGGGGGGGGGGGGGGGGGGGGGGGGGGGGGGGGGGGCTTGTAAGTCGAGAAATAGGTCATTTCAGCCTCCTGAAGGCCAGCCCAAGCCATATTTGAGTGATAGATCTGGAAGGATACTATCAAAAACTAATGAGATCTAAATTGTGTTACTCCAAAAATATATTTGTTATTCAAGAGATGATGAGCTCCCTGTTTATTTCAGCTCTTCTCTTAAACACTTGAAATATGAGTGTAAGATATAATTGCTCAAACAAATAGATTTCTCCTTTGTGTTTTAAAAAAATGATCTTAATCAGTTACTTTTATAAGTCTGTTTGCTATTCTGCATCATTGTGTGTGTGTGTGCATGCACATGTACAACTTTGAATGGGTGTTAAGAGGCAAACTTCTCCTGGAGGATCTCTCTCTGCAAAACCATTTGAGAAAAAAAACTGCTGAGCTCAATGGAGCTTTGTTTAAAAATGTAAATTATGGAAATAGGTCACATTAAGAGTTTGGCAGCTTGCAGAGTATCTTACAAGTCACTGAAATGCTCAGTCAGGATGGAATGCTAATAGGATCATTGTGTGGCTCTTTAAAGTGTTTGGAATACACAGGGGACACTGCTGCTTTAACGACAGACATTTCTGTTAACGATGCCATCGCTCAAGTTTCAAACACTGACATCGAATTAGGTTGTTTTCAAGTCATATGCTAAGTAGGAGACTCACTTTGGCTTAAAGATGTTCTTGCCAGATTTTGTAAATAAAACCTGAAATGATCTTTTATCTGAAAAGCTACAATGTTAAAGAAGAGATATGCCAGTAGAGCTGTTTGACATACTGCATTACAGAGTGTGCAAAGATCAACTTAAGAAAAATATTTCCCAGATTTGGCAGCTGTTATGTAATAATAACTCTCAGTATTTTATTTTCTGAAGGGAAAAGTTGCACTGATGTGGATCAAATAATATCATCCCCTCTAGGGGACACTGGAAAAACATAGCCTCGTTGATGACAAATGTGTCACATTTCACTTCTTTGAACACTTGGCAATGACGGGGACAGACTGTACTTTTAAAATGTGTTTTAAGCCTCCAGATAGTAAACTGGTATGGGCTGGCTCCGCCAAAAGTTCCCTTTGTTTTTACTGCCATCTGAAACACAGCCAGTTGCTGTGCTTAATTTTTGATGGCCATCAAAGGGGGCAACATGTTGCCTTTCCTCTGTATATGGATTAGATTGAAGGAAAATGAAGGCACTTGAAATGTAGCCTTGTTCCACACAATCATCCAATATGACCCTATACAAAGCATGCGAATTTTGGATAATTAGGGATTTCATTTATATGTTCGCAATGAAGTTATGAAAAATACAAGAAAATCAAACAATTTGCACCACTTAAGATGAAAAATGTCGCAGTCAGTCAATCTCCATTTTGTTGAAACAGTCAGATAAAACTACATTTTATTCACACAAGTAGCCCACTGGCAACTGTGGGAAGGATTAGGCACACACTCATATCTTCCTCAGCAGCATGATACTATAGAACAGTAGAGATCAAGTGCGCCCTCCAAATTAATTGTGGCAGTCCCAGCTGAATAAGGGTACTGCACATCTAATTTATTTCCTAGATCAGATTTCGTTGGATAGTTCACGGATTTAAACTGAGAGTATATCAGTCATGAACTCGTTCTCAGAAAATCCTCCGTCTGACACCACAAATTAACCTCTGATAGTTCAGAGTTTTTTTTCACTGAACCAACTATCCCAATCTGAGCTGGCAGAGAATGCAGGAATATCTTTTTGAAGGATCAAAGAAAACAGGACAAATCTAACACAAGGACAGAAATACCTTCTTATGGACTCAGTGTCTGTTGACTCATCCTCTTGCAAGTGTTTGTAGACATGGCCAACCACTCGGGAGCCATCAATAAGATTTGTTGTTACTTTGTTTCTCCCTCTGGAAATAGGTGGGGTCCTGAAGTGGGTGGCCTCTCTCCGCTGTTGGGCTGGACTGAGTGAGAGGGAGCTACTCCTGCAGGCAGAAGAAAAGCAAATCTAGTGAGTTGAAATAACAAGCTGAACAGGTTGTTTTACAGATAAATAATGACAAAATAAGAAAACACCTCATTTCATAGACACTGAGTGAGCTACTTTGTTTCAGACATGAGTCTTCAGACATGAGTCAATGTATCAGATACATGGAAAGAATAATAGTTCTACAGTAAGCCACACAATTTACATAAGAATTAAATCATTTGTCACAGCTAAATCAAAAGGAGCAGTGAAAGAGCAGGACTGTGCCTGTGGCTTTTTGTCTGCTTCCAGCAGAATGGTCATGTAATTCAATAATCAATTATATTTTTGGGCTACATTCTCAAAGCTAACTATTTTTCACTTCATTTTATGTTCATTTGAAAATGTTTGCATTTTCTTTAGCTTATTTCAATTAGTGATAAATATGCCTTCCCCGTGAATTCTCATTTGCTTGCATCCACAACAGCAGGAAGCTTTTATATATACTGTTATATAAAAAAGCCCATTAAGTAAGATCAGAAAACTACTAACCTTTATTTGGCAATTTTTTTGTTTACAGTGTGGACATTTAAACCCACTTCTCCCAATTTTTAGACGCCAAAATGTTGTTCTATCATCCATCTTTTTACAAGAGACAATCACTAAGTTTAGTTGTATGCTCAAAGAGACACTTTATTGGTTAATCTAGAGACATATTTCCAACATTGCATGTCACAGGTTATGACATGTGGTGTACTGGAAAATGTAACGAAAAATGCAATGACAGCTTTGACTACTCCACAGACAGTATGTAACTAGTAAAAAGCAATTGGATTTTTTTTTTGCTCTGCATAAGAAACTGAAATCGGTGTTTGTGGGTTCAAAGTTCCCTTCTGAAGTAACAAATTCTATTCATTATATGCTTCCTGTTTGAATCTAGACTAAATGTATAATTTTAATCAACTTAATAAGGGCAAAGACATTTACTAAACGTTCACATCAAACAGACTTCTAAATGTGTTTATGGCTCATTTAAATGTCTTTTAGAAATTTCTTTACAAAAAAAAAAGCTCTGCTGGTCTATCCTAATGCTTATTTTGTGCACACATCTGCTCATGCCAGAATTTTCCATTATTCAATAAGGGAGAGCAGCTGGTAACAAGATGGACGTCTGCACAGAGAGTGGATCCTGCTACTTTCTAGTAGGGATCCTGGTTTCTGTTGTAACTGATGTTCTTTTTTTACACATGGTAAACACAGACACATAGCCAATAAATCAGAACATTTACACTGATTAATCATACTGACTGACAGTTACAAAAATCAATAAATAAGAAAAAAGCGGTCAAAATAGATAATGCCAGGTCCTATTGAAGACATTCAACTGATTTAAAATGCTGGTTTGGCATTAAAAGTGAGAAGATCATCAGCAATCAGATTAATTCAAATTAAGTTTCTGAGTTAACTCAAGTTTGCAGATAAATCTGTTATTTTTCACATGGAGGAAGAGGCATCAGCGTTCTAGACACTCACGTAGGAAAAAGATGTTTAGCAAAAATATCAGAAAAATGCATGTTTGGTTTGTGAAGATATTGAAGACTAACACTGTTCAAACAATTGAGTGAAGTGTACAACCAACTACCATATGTGTAACTGAATCCAAAAGCATTTAGGTCAAACTTAAAATGTATTTGCTGAACTGTTTGCATGAACACAAAAGTGTCCCACATATGATATCCTGTTGCTGTCAAATTATGCCAGCAGCATCTTTTTCAGCCCCACTGTTTTTTTCATTGAATTTTTTTCATTCTGAGCACAGTAGGTGATCTACTTCAAAGCAGATCCCTGCCTGTCTGCCACACTAAACCAACAACATCAAATGTAAATCAAAGTTTTACTGCACTGTAGTGCAAGCTAATGTTTGTGAAGCAAACAGCTTCTGTTGCGCATATGAATCCATAACGTGATATACAAATTAATTATCAAAATATGTCAATGGAATTTAAGTTAAATATCCTCTAATCACATTCTACTTTTGGTTCTAATTTATAAATTCAGTTTGAGTGTGGTGGTTGAACTGAATAACAACCTGACACATTTCATCATTGTTTTGGGACAGTAAATATGTGACACTCTCCCGGCTTGAATCTGGCTCCTGAATTATTTGGCATTGTGGAAACAGCACAGCATGGATTTTGGTGTGGGCATGAAGTGGTACATTCTTTATTCCTTTTGTTGTTTAAATAGCAATCAAGATGTGCAAACTTCGAATAGCTCTTGCTTGTTCATAAACTGAACTAATTTCTGTTCATGCAGTGCAGCGAGGATTCCAAGTTATTAATAGATATCTGAACGAGAGACCGTGTGAATAATTTCCTGATGTCTGGGCTTGTTGAACAATAAGCATTTTTAATGTTGACCCTAATTTCTGTTGTCATTATTGTTTCCTCTGTTGTTCTGTTTAGGAAGTTAATATGAATAAATTCAGTTATGTCAGATTTGTTAGCTATGAGCATACTGACTGTTTAATTAGAATTAACGGAGAACTTTAAAAAAATATGTTTTTGCGGAAATGTTAAACACAGGAATGTTAAAGGTATAAAACAAAAAGGAAGCTGACTATTTTTGTGTTTGACCAAAGCCATACAGTCTCCTAAATCTGTCTGGGTCCATAATTTAGCTGTTTCTTTCCCTGCTTATGCATTTACTGAACCTATTAGACAGGAACAGGAGGAAGCTGGCAGACTGAAGGCGACGGCATGTGACAAAGAACGGGATCTCAGTTAAAAACAGAGAATCACATATACAGTGTACACCCATCTCCACAGAACCGACACCCACAGAGTCGCACTCCCGATGTTCTCTATGGATACTACATTTTCTTCTCAGTATGTGAAAAACAGAGAAACACTAATTTAATTTTAGCAACTGATTAGCCTTCCAACTAAATTTTTCTTGTGATCTAATCATTAGAAAGAATTGTTGATTACAAATTAAATCTAGCAAAAAATAGAACGTGACTAAGTTTCATTGGTGTGATTTAATGATTTCCATCACATTTTGCTGACAAAGAAACCCACAAATGTACCTGACAGCAGGCAGAGTCTAGAGTTTATTAAGGGAATGGATGCAATCAAAAATAAAAAATCCTTGTGTATGCAGGGGTTGTCTCTCTGTACTTGGAGTTCCTCCCACCAAAGAAAAATGCTCTTTAGGTTAATTAGTGATTCCTAATTAACACTGGGAGAAAGTGTAAGGTTGCCTTTGTCTAGCTTGTGCCTGTGTGGCCTTGTGATGGACTCAAATAATTTATTCTAATTATGCATGATATTAATTGATCTTTATATTTATTATAAATAAAACTACATTCAAGTTAGTATGTTGATACATTAATGTGATAAAAGTAGCAAACATTTCTACAAAAGACTAATATGACTTGGACCATATTGGAATCTTGGATTCATGTCGGCGTATTAGTGATCTACATTGTTTCTGGAAAAATCCCAGCTCAACAGATGCACTTTGCATCATAAAAGTCACTTGAGAGACGAAGCCTCTGAAAACAGGTAAACATTTGCAGCAATATTGATGGGCCATATCGACACGTTTTTATGGGGCATTTCTCCTCACTGCTCAGAATGTGGTCCAGCTTTTAGGTCAATAGCTGAAAGCATTTCAACACCATCCATCACAATGCAGTTCTCCACTGCCTCCTCATGCTCTGAGGAGCAGCTGAACAGATGATTGACTGTCAGCTGCCCTTCCTGAGACACCTGCAGGACACTGTGGAGAGTAAAAAACCAGGATATATCGGCACAGTCCATGCAACTGTGCATAACAACGTTCAGAAAAATATTCCTCTTCTACGCAGTTAGTTAATTGTCGCTTTTGTCTACCAGATCTGCAAAAACTTTGTCTGTGCACAAACAATGTTAATTATCTACCAAGAAATAAGTTCCTTTTAATTACAGCACAAGCAAAGCACAATATGCCCTTTATATTTTGTGGTAATCAATAATTACCTCTAATTTATCCTAATATTTCCTTAATTTATTTCAATCCTGCGGGTGTCAGGGCATATCAATAAATTGTCAAAGTTCTTTAATGAGTCGCGTTCTGTGGCTAAATGTTTTAAACATCCAAATCATAAAAGCAAATGAAACCTTTCTGTAAACATATCAAATGAGCCGTTGTAAAACCCTGTATACCCGCATTTCCATGTTAGTCTGAGGATTTGAAATGCCAGCATTTGATTCAGACTGCTGGGATTGCAAAACGTAGCCGCCTGTGAGATCCCTTGTAGCAAAGTGTTGCTAATTTGGTTAAATCCTCTGCCGCTGGAAGGATGGCATGGGAGAATTTGGCTGATTCAGTGTTTATAACTCCACAGACTCAAATTCCAGTCTCTACAGAAGATCCTGGTGTACTTTACTATTTCAATGCAATTAGTCATTTTCATTTTCTGCCCCAGAATACATTTAATAACACAGTATACTTAAATATGGTGTTAATAAAAGTGCCTATATTCCATGGCTTCTGGACAGACATTTCTATTAAAAGTAACTAGTTGAGCAATTGCATCTTCATGAAAATACTTATTACACTCATGGATAACCACACAAACACACTGCTTATGATGGTGGAAATGTATCTAAGAAATATATGAACCTTGCTGCAACCATTTATAATTGTCATTTTTTCCCCCCTCAACAAACGATCTGTTTATTATTTGGAAGACCATTTTAATGTTTCACATTGCAGGTTGATTAAATTTCTCACTCGGCTGCTTCTTATATCTTGATATGGGCTGAGAAAGATATGAAACAGGGCAGGAAATAAGAGTATGTCATATTTCACCTGAAACGTTTCCCTTTAGACAGGGCTTTGCTGAGAATAGGCGGGGTTGCAGAGGATGTGCCTGGTGTCACATTGCCACCCGTAAGAGATGCTCCATGAGCGTTGCAACCCTGCAGGAACAAAGAAAAGTAGTTCATACAGTGTGAGATGAAACAAAACTTCAGATTATAATGCTTTTTTTGTATTTGTCCATGTAGTTTAGAGGCAGTCTCAGGTTGAGGATGTTCTCTCGCGGATTTTACCCCCTTTCTCTCAGGCAGAGCGTCTTTAATTACATTTCACATTTTGAATTGTAGATTAAGAGGAAACACGAGGCAGATAAACTCATCTCTGGCCATTTATAGGGCTAAACTCAAGAATTAATTCAAGAAAAGATTACATTAATGGCTTCCAAAAGAATTTCCCTGCTTCCATTCTTACACATTATTCTTATCAAAATTACCAGCATTATCTTACAACAGGCCACAGTCAGAGCTCTGGCACAGTGGCCATGAAGTCCTCCGCAAAACACAAAGTGTTGAGATCATTTTTTTAATTTCAGTTACAGTTCTTCCTGTCTCAGTGTACCGTTAAAAACAGCAACATGACTGATAAGCCACTTTCTAGCATTATACCACTGGCTCCCAGGGGGAGCTGGTACGGTTGTTCACTTGTTGTGCAGGAAAATACATATTTTGCATATTTTTAGTAGTTGGAGAATAATTCACTTTCTGATACAATTGATATTACAAACTTTCCTGTTGGATGATTTTGGTGTCAGAGGAAAATAAATAGCTTGTGGCAGACAATGGCTGACATGTAAAGCATAGCCTGTTTAACGTTTTCCCACATGTCTGGCCTTCTTTATACCATTTGTAAAATACTTTTATATAAAAACAGACGCTTGAGAGACTAACAGAGAAATACATCAGCATGTTGTCTAGAACCAAAATAATAGGGACAAAAGGAAACCAATACACTCAGAGAAGTCATAGTGCTCCTTTACAAATAACAGGTTGTAAAATGTGTACAATAAGGTACTTTTGTATTCTTCAACAAGAGTCTTTTGGCCAGCAGCAACCACGAGCTCTAGTTTAAAGTGAGCAGAAGTTAGGTCTCTAGGCAGCATGTTATCAAGATTTCAATCATTATGCATTGACTGTGCTTGCCAACAGTGTTTGCTACATTATTCAGATCTGGGCTGAAATGATTTTTTATTTTGATAGTTATGGAGATCCATGTCGACCCTTATATCACAGCCTGAGTTGATTCAAAACCCCTACTGAACCAGGGGGCGATGTTCTGCAACTTTCTGTTCACACTGATTCTGGTTAATTATTTGCTGAAACATTAAAGTTTGTTTTTTTAAAACATCTTAAACCTAAGAGCAAGCATCCACTTGAATTATTATTTCTTTATGTAAGTCTTTTGCTGAGTTTCTAGAAAGAAATATGTTTGGCATCACTTTTCTAATCAAGAGCTTCCTTAGTGAAACAACAAGACACCGTGTTTAAAAAGCAATGACTTCAGTGTAGTTAAAATTTGTCATTGACATAAGAGAACATGACCCTGAAGCACACTAAAGCTAAAATATTCTGAAGTAATATTTCTGCAGAGCTTGTCTCACCAGGCTCTCCTCAAGGGCTCTTACCTTTGTCTATCCCAATGAAGTATTCATACATTATGCTCACTCCTGAGGGTGACTCAGCCACTTTGTAGAATAACGGTCATTTTTACTTTACTCATCTTTTACTTTGCCAGAAAGGTCCCTTAGAGAAGTAATTTCTCCCACTCAAGAGAGTCCTGGCCAGTTAGTTTGCAACTTAGGTGCTTTCAGTTGTTTCCAGTCCAGTTTCTCACGAGTCAATACCAGCCTTTTTATTTGAAGCACTATTCCTTTTAAAATAGTGCAATTATAGAATATTTTCATGAGACATGTACAATTGACATGATTAGATTCACTCAGTATAATAGATAACAGGAAAAAAATCCAATGTATTTTTGGACAATGAGTAAACATTTACAGGGATTTTAAATGATAGAGGAAAACATCCACATCAACAAACTGGGATGAACATACTGGGATGGGTGAGAATATTTAAAAATAACCAGTGTTTTCCTCAAAATCATCTTGAAAAATGCATGGTGAAGTGCATAGTGCAAAAGAATTAAATAAAAACACATCAAGTGGCTTTAATTTGAGTTTTAATTAGCGCTGGCCAGTTAATTGAATTAGATGAAAATTAGACAATAATGAAATATTTAGACCAGTTATCTGAGATTTTGAAACATCCCATGGATATTTTTGTATGATTTTATTTAGTTGAATCCCACTTATTGTGAAAAAACAAACAGCAGTGAGTCAGGATGGAATAACCCTTAAATAACTAAAGTGCTGATGCACAGACATCGGAAATCCAGAAAACATTGAGGGTTTGGTTATTTTCTTCCATCGCAGTTATTTATTGCATTGTTGTGTACAAGTTGTTGGATTGCGACACAACAATACATTAGAGAAACTATCTTTGGTAAAAAACATCGGCATAAAAAAAGCTGACATGATTTTGAGGACATAAAAGAAAAATGGAGCAGCGCATCATTTCACTGTAGAGCTGATGTGAAATGCAAAAGCTAAAATGGACTTCAGTTTCATCCTCCCCTTCGCTTTTGCCTTGACAGAGCCAGGCTTTTGTTTCTGGCTCATTGGCCTCATCTCCACCTCCCTGCCTAAAATGCATATACAGAAACCATTGTGTTCTGATGCTGAGTTATGCAGCACACACCGAATGTTTCGAGCCTCTTTTAGAACACTCTTGCTCTGTTCTTTCTCGTCTTTTCATTTGTCTGTGTAACCTCAAAGAAAGCTGAGAACTTGTAGGATGGCACCACCCACAGCCCATGTTCTTTCCCTGGATGGTTTCAAGCTGCAGGAGTGGGAGGCTAGAAAGTGTGGTCTGGGGTCGCTGTGTCAGATCTGTGGCTTTCTCTCCTTAATCTTTCCTTGGTCTATTCAGCTCATGCCCCCTCCCGTGTGCTTATAGCTTGTGATCTTTCACATCCCACCTTAAGCTTCCCTCACAAAGTTGTATTATAGCTTGTGTTTCTGTGTTGTTGTGTTATTATTGTCTTTTTTTCTTTTTGTCTTGCCTTCCGCTTGGTTTCCTCCCTGTGACCACAAAGCATTTTGTGGTTGAACACAAGTCTTAGGAGTCCTGATATATTTCTGTCACTAATCTTACAGTCTTGTTTTTATATAATTGTCCACTTTTGTGCTATGGGTCCTTATTTGACTCTAATGCATTGGACTGAGCTCTGATGTGCTAAAATGAGCTTTACTTTGTGGTGCAGTGTTCCAGCTCTATTGAAATCACACTCTTTGGACAATTTTAAACTGCTGTGCAGATGCTACATTTCCCCTTAGCTGTCAACTTGGAGTCATGATTTAAAATGACAGTCTCAGAAAAGCTTTCAGACTTGCCACCTGCAGTTCAGTGGGCGGGGTCGGTTTGAAGGGTTTTTCAGCTATTGACACTATTGAATTATTAAGGAATCTTGGTACAGCCTAAACATAAAAGAAGACCAAGTTTTAATGATAAATTATTCTCTCAGAAAACATTAGTATTCAGTAAAAGCCTTTAGATCATAAAACTGGGATTCGCCTGAGTGGGAAAAAAATCATATTATCTATGTAATCAGTGTAAAACAAAAAAATGAATGAGAGTGGGGAAAATGGGATGCTGGAGTCTCTTCCAGAAGTCATCTGGTGAGAGGTGGGGTACAGGTCACCAGTCCATCACGGTGCCACACGGTGACAACCACACACACACTCACATTCACTCCTGGGGGCAATTTAGAGTCTTCAGTAAACCTAACATGCATGTTTTTGGACTGTGGGAGGAAGCTGGAGTACCCAGAGAGAACCCGCACATTCACAGGGAGAACACGCAAACTCTACACAGAAAGGCCCACAGTCCCTGGGGGATTCCAATCTCAACCCTTTTGCTGTGAGGTGTACGAGGTATTTTAGCTTGCCACCACACCACCACACAACTAGATAAAGAGTGATGGCTAGAATATAAACAAATAAACCAAAAAAGAATATTTTGATAAAAAAAATGTGCTCAAAATTCTAATGAATATAGAAAAAGGTAAATCCAGGAAAGTGCTTATACATTATTATCATTATGGTCAGTAACTGCAGAAAATATGCATTGAAGTGCAATTGCCTGTCTGTACAGACATCAGTATTATCAATGCTATCCAAATCCTCCATATGCTGTGGAGGTCAACTCCCCCCTCTGCCGTGTTAGCGTATCTGGTGGTGGCACTTAAAATTTCCTTTTAGGCCACTTTGTTTTGCCAGCATGTTGGCTACTTTTTTTAGATTTTTTTTTCATCCCACAGGGAGTAAGTCTTTCAATTGATTTTTCCTTTTTTCAAAAATGTCTGGGTTACCTGGGTCACATTTTTGTGATTTTGTTTCAGATTTTTTTCAGATTCTTATCTCTTCTGCCAATTGAAACCTCTAGTAGCCTATATATCAAATACAATCATGTGCATGCATCCAGAAAACACAGTTTTGACTTTCTCTTTGCTGCTGTGCTTGCATGGCAAATTCTATATCCTTTGCACCAAATCTGATTATGAATTCCAATCTCCACTTTGTCATAGGAATCTGTCACTGTGAATGTGACAAGCAGATTTTTCCTGTACAACACATGATGTATTTGTTTTAAGCTGTTATTTCCCACTGCCTCTCATCCTATATTAGATATGACTGTGAACAAAAGGCTTCAGTCAGTGGAGAGATTATTGAGAAATACATCATAGATCATCCTGTCAAGCAAGCAAGGTTTTGTATTGTATATATAATTCATTTAAGGACTTAATGGGGATGATTGTGACTAACATGTGACTGAAAATAAAATCAGTGATCGCTGAGGACTACCTTTTGGAGATGAAGGCTGTACTGGAGCTTGAGAGTAGATTTGGACATGAGGCCAGAGGCGTTGACGCTGCAGTCTCTTAAGCTACGGGTCTCAGAAAAATGAGCCTGGAGTTTTTCGCGATGCTTCCTGTGGAGCAGAGAGAGTGCACATAGGAAATGAGAAAGACTACATGGTTATAGCTGAACTGAAGAGGTAATCCAGACTGGTTGATCAATGTAAAGTAAGAAATCAATTTAGCAACAATACTTCTGAACAACAAATCTTAAAATTACAGTCAGAGAAAGAACCAAAAATCTTTGCTGCAGATTCCAAGATAACATGTAGTGTTGCTGTTTTTTGTGGTTAGCCCCTCTAAAACAGTCTCTAGTGGAAGTTCTTAGTCCTATGACTGTGATCTTAATTTATATAGGTAATAACAAGTAGATCACACTCGACTGCAATATTGACTTGTTGCACTTTAATCTTAAAACAAACATAGAAACTATCACAGTTGCACGTTTATGTTCTGAATTCTGCCTCATTAATATTAATTTTAAACAGACATATGAATAAAAAATAACTAGAAGAACTAAAGTTCTGAGGAGAGAGTGACAATTGTTTTATGTTATTGCTGCGTCTCTTTAATTTTCAACCTGTTCTAAAGCAGCTTGTGTGTCTACTAATTCAATAAAATGAAACCGAAATTTGCTTGATACCTAATATCATGAGATGATGGAATAAACCTCTTGGCTGTTTAAGGTTTTTGAAACTGCCAGATATGACAATATCTTTTTTTTTTTATCTTGAAAAATCAAAGTAACAACTTGGGTTCAGTTGTCACACTTGAAAATGTTCTGCTGCATATCTTCAAAAACATACAGAGTATGTATTAAATATTCCCACAAAATGTGACAGTAAATGACGCATTATAGAACATTTCATCATGACTGCATCAAATGAAGGAAGCTTACACGCTCATGCTTCATACAATACGACTTGTTGCTTAACTTAGGGGTCCAGATCATTATCAAATCCATGAAAATCAGCTAATTATTTTACACACTGGTATCAGCTCAGTAATCATGCGTGGTCATCTGTATCTGTGTCCTCTAAATTTCATAATGACATGTTGAGTTATTCACTGACCTTTGAGATTACATTTTCAGTCTTAAAATGTGCAGATAAAGATCTTGTATCTTTATCTCTTTTCTATACCACTATAAGGCAAAAAAAGGAACTTGACTAATGGTTAACCTTGTCAAGTACTGATCTAAATTAAATTTGTTACTGAAGAAGAGAATAAACTTCAGGATTACTAATAGAAGCTATTTATCTGAGCTGCCCTGTCAAATAACATTCCAGGATAAGAGAATCAATTTAACAGGATCTGTGGCTTTGGATAATTTGTGTTGCATTAGCTTTTCTCTGTGAGACAGGACTCTGGACTTCTTCACCAATAGGCCCTGTACCACTTAGAGCCATACATTCCTGAAATACAAAACCCACTTTTGTTTATGAAAACCAATTAAATCAACACAACTTCCATTAACTTATCCTTTACTCTCTCTCATTACTTTTACTTACTGAATTATTTTTTTTCTTAGCTTCATAGGAATAATTGAGTTTGGTTTTTCTACTTTCATGCTAACTGATTCTCTCTTTTACACTATATACACACTTTTAGTAGATTGTGCAGTATCCATGTATTTTGTTTTGTGTCAAATTCTCAAGACACACAAGCTTTATTAAAATTGACCTGAGTATTTGTCCCAAATGCGCCTCACAATTCAGATTTGGTAGAACTTCCTGGTGCAGACTTACGCTTACATTGGGCTCCATGCCTGATTGTGAAGTGCTTTTTGTGCACAGCCAGGGGCTTACTCTACTCATGTAGTTCTGGCTAGCATCACTTACTTGTTGCGGCGGTAGAGAGCCATACATGCCACTCCAAGGAGACAAATCCCTGATGCAATACTGAAGATGGACAGCACCTGCCTCTGGTAGGTGTCACCACTCTCTGCAGAGGAAAAAAAAACCCAATTCAACACAATGATTTTTCTATGGAGACACAGAGGGTATGGACTGCAGCTGTGATTGCGCAAAGATGATGCCAAGCAATTTGAATCAGCACACCAAACACAAAAACTGTGGACCGACATGCACACGACCACACACAGATATTTATCTCCAATCTGGATCAACACAAAGAAACCGGCCCTACTGTCAGTAAATGTCAGTGTTTGAACATTGGAAAGGGACATGGCAGACACAGGGAGGTCTCAGTGACATGTGCTAACTGAAGTGTGATAATCATTTCGTTCAGACAAACCCAGCAGGCAACCGATGAACTGTCTACTCTGCAGGGGCAACACCAAGTATGTATGTGACTGCGTGGTTTGTGTGTTTATGACTTATGGCGACATGGAATTAGTGGCAAATGAACGCTTCTGGTGCTTCTTGTCAAAGCCACGCACATCAGTGGCAGCAGCTCGAGGTCACGAGAAGCAGCTGATCCCAGCAGATATCTGTATGAATGAGCAGCTGGATTTTAGGGAAACATTTCAGGGCCCTCGCAAAAGCTCTCACGGCTCCTCTGACTTGACAGTTTTTATACACAATATATAACCTACAACTTGCTGTACCAGTCATCTATTGATCATTTTCGAGTTAGAAAGACTTCTGTCTCCCACTAGAATTTGTGACCTTCAACTCAACCCCCTGTGAATTCACTCTGTAAATAAAAAAGAATAAATCCTCCAGTGTCTTATTTAAGCACTTCAAAACACCTGCAGGAAAAATACTAAAATGTGTCATGACTTTCAAAGGTTGGGCGGTGGATTCTGATGCTGTCGACAAGGAACAATTCAGGGAGGTCTTCTACATCTTCACTTTGCGACTTAGGTGTAGCTTCTTCCAAAACTAGAAATTGTTTGAGCACTTTCTATATTTATAGCTAGCACTGGGGTGCAACCGAGCACTATGTTCCACTCCATTTTTTTGGCAGTATGCCTTTCTGCAGGACATCACTGATGCATGGATACACTTAAGTGATGGTACAGTGTCCCTGAGCCCAAACTGGAGTAAGACATTCTACTAGTAGAGAGCTTCTGGAAACTAACATTTGAACATGTCCTTGCCTGACAGTATGTGAAGATTGTGGAAGATTATGATCATGTTAAAAATGTGCATTATGCCACACACTGACTGCATTTCAGACTATTTTCAGTATGGATTTAATGGTGACCTTTCTGGGGTGTAGCACGTCTCTCATCCAATAACACATTTGGAGATTTCAGCCACCAGTAACCTTGAATTGAAATAACTAAGTGTAAAGAATGATGGATGGTTTGTTTATGGTGTTAGTGTTAACAATGTTCCTCAAAAATGTAGAAACTGGATTTAATGGCTAAGTAACGCTTGGTGCTGTTATCTCCATACTTAAGTGTTAGGGTGTTATGAATTGAAAGATGCTCATTGTCTAGTTTCCTCCACACATGATGTTAATTAGTTGTCATATGTCTTTAAGTAGACACAAGAGTTTTGTCTTTTCAACTATGGAAATATAATGAATTAAATCTCTTTAAAGATGTGTTTACTAAGTGTCTATATTTAATGTAGAAGACTTGAGAAGGCCTTATTGTTTTTTATACGGATGCTGTAAATATGTAAATGTGATGGTTTTAAAAATAGTTAAAGAAATTTGTTTCATTGCGTACTGTGATGGTTTCATAAGTTTGATAAGGAGCTGTCAACACCTTATTGACTGCAGATTCTAGAAAAGCAGCTAAATTCTTCAAGCTCTATTCTAAAAATGAACTGCAGAAAGTACCAATCTCATGTTTCACTTGCATGTCGGTTCCCCTGTAAAACCTCCAGCTTTTACCTTCCCTGAAATGACCTTCCAGTGGTTGCATATTTGAAACAGAGGCGCTATAATTCCCTGCTGTTGAACCATCACTCATCTTGTGGGGAGCCACCTGAGACCAACCTCTGCCTATTTTTGATGAATGAAATAGGCTTTTCCAAAATCTGAACACAAAAACAGCTGTCTGCAAATCTTCACCGAATGGCTGCAAGGAAAAACCGACATGCAATTTGTACATAAAGCCATTACAGGCCTTCCATGCTCCATGCCTACAAGGCTTTCTTGAAATTAAATGCAAGAGATGCTAGAAAAAGGAACAAAATGAACAGCATCAGCTATACTGGCTAAAACGTGTCATACTTACAGAAGACAAGACAATCCCATATGGCCAGCTATACCATAACAACCGCTCTACACTTGACTATGATAAAAGTGCTGTGATGAAGACTGTGTTAAAGTATGCATGACAAAATGGGTTATTAAGCCTGGAATACATCAGAGTGAACTAGTAAGACATGCAGAGTTTCCATGGCTGGACTAAAGAGTGCAAGAAAATCATATTTAGTGTATCTGATCCTACATCAAACATGGCTTTGCAGTATTCTGACTTGCTGTCTCAGACTGTCATATACTGTACAGGACTTATGCGACAGCTATGAAAGGCTACATCAATAAATCAGACAATGATTCTGTAATGGTTTACATAAATAATCAAGTAAATTAGTAGGGTCTATCTGAGAAAAGAAAATCTATCTTTGTCTTTGTGTGTTTCATCTGTCCAGATCTGTTTCCAATGCATCTGCCAACATGCAGTAATGTTTTAAAACTAATTTAGTCCCAGATTAAAATCAATGAACTTTGGAATGTTGTGTGTCGTGCTTTTTTCTTTCAGAGCGTTGTCTCCCTTCTACTATTTCCTGGAGCTACTTTGTGATGTGACAGCATGTAAATGGAACTCTTCATAGCTTGGTCTTATGCATGCACTAAAGCGAGGCAAACAGAAGGGAAATGATGACAAAGGAGGAAATAAATTTAGAAAAAGGAGTATAAGAGTGTCTGTGTGTGTATGTGTGTAGGATGAGACTTTATGTTCCCTCTGGACATGGAGCAGTGTGACCTTATTAAAGAAAGAGATCCAGATAATTTGGTTTTGAAAGATTTGATAACCACCTGGAAGGAGGTGCAAAGGTAATATAAATCAAAAGAAATTCAAATTGCATAGCCTCTCATCCCACCATCTGATTTTTTCATTTTTCTACACAAATGAATCCTTTTGTTGGGCTCAATGTGAAATGCATACCACAAAGCAGAAAATGTATCGTTTCAAGTATTGGAAATTGCTTCTTAAATTGTTGGGCAAGCATCTGAAAGGTGAGGAAAGAATGATTTCTACAATTAGCTTTGCTCAGTGCTCGTTACATCACTCTTTTCTAACAGTACTGTTCCTCATGCAGACAGAATACACCTAATTCACCACCACAGTGTTTCCATGGTGACTGGCCCACATGAATTTTCCAAGGTGAGCGGCCTTGTTGTGCTGGATTGTGTGTTTTGTACGCAATATTTCACAGATGGGAGGCATATGAAAGATTGAGCACTCTGCAAAGTCAATGAAAAGTTGTCTTACCCATGAACTCGATCCCAAGTTCATCCGCTGTTCCATTCAAGCCAGATAGCAAATAAAAGAGGGGAAAGAACGAGTAATCATCAGCATGGAGATGGAGAAGAAAAGACAGAGCATGGTTACTACATGATGCACCTCTATCTTAATCACAACACGCTGCTCACGCTGCCTGTGTTTAAACCAGGTCATAGTTTGAATGCTTTATCAGACATGATTTCTCCCTTTGCAGTGGGCTATAAGCCAGTCAGCCTCAAATGCATGGAATTCTTTTATGTGATACTCTAATTCACTCAGCCTGCAATGGTTTTGCAAACCAAGATAAGGAGGAAGATGAGGTTTAGACTGAGAAGATTAGAGGGGGGATCGTGAAAATAAAAGTTGAAAATGACATATCATGCAGCTTTGTGCCACTGATGCTGCTTTTGCACAGGCCCCTTCTATTGGTTTGAGCCTGAGGCACTGTAGTAATTGTTCTCATCCTCACATAGTGGTTGCTCGAAGGTGCGTCACTCTAACACACACGTTTACATGCATGTGCACCCCTCCAGCCTGGCACGCCCTTGTCTATTATTCGCCATCTCTTAGACAACACACAAAGCATGCACATCCTGTCTCTTTCTGACACGCACACATGCATGCACTCCTTCATACAAAGAGCCTTTTTTCATGCAGCCAAGTCTTGTCCCACAATCCCAGTGCTGGGGAAACAGATAAAAAGGGCCACTCGTGTTCTTTCCATCCTGAAAGTGCCCCATTTTCATGTCACTGTAATGTAATCTTATTTAAATGAAAATTAAACCCTCACTGGTAATTACATTTCTGACAGAGGTGGTCTAAGTTTTGAAGAGAATACAGTTAGACAAGCCCTGAGAGAATGCACTGGACCTCCTTAAAAGAGAAAAAATTGCCCCAAAAAACGGCAAAGAATAGCATTTTATTGCAGTGCAGTAACCCCTGTTATCACAATGAACATATGGGGAAAAAAACAAATAAGCATTTGGATGAACGGATTGTATCTTTAAAAGGTTATCTCATGCTATTGAAATATGTTTAATATGAAATAATGTTGAGCTATAAGGATGTTCTTGACATAGAACAGTGAATATTCAAATTGGTCTGTGAAAAACTGGGCTTTGTCACCATTCTCAGAATTCTCTGATTTACCAAACTGAAAGTACTCCCATAATTATCTACTGCTTTAAATATTAGTACCTCAAACAACTCAATAAAATATATCTTTCCCAGTGAACAATTAGAGAGCTTTCAGTCCCTCATTTTCGCCAAATAAATTACCATAACCTGAGAGAATTTCCATGCAGAGTATTGATTTTCACAGTATTCTGACCTTCTATATATTACTGTTTACATGTTAAGAAAAAGCAAATGTTCATTTTCTAACACAGCACTGAGCAGTTTCTTCTTTAAGACCTTTAGAATGAATTCAGATTTCTGTATTTATTATGCACTCATTCTGAATCATATTCATCAATAAAACAGTTATGTGCCAATCAATTCTGCCCAGGGGGGGACAGAGCACTCTGTGCCATGACAAATTTTTCTAATTCAACTGCAGAATCAAGATAAGGCTGCAGCACCAAGCACTTATGCCAACTACGCTGCCACTGCTTGGCAAGAAGTGAATGCAGCATCTCTCTGATTTTTCTTGATTTGCACTCTATGTTCAACCCTGTACTTGGGACTGCCCATAGCAACAACCAACACTTTGTTCCACTCAAAATCACCCTGACTGTGCAGATGATGTCATTACATAGCTGAAACACATCCCCTCCTCTGGCATCGTCTCGTCTGGAGACATTCAACAATCATAATATGAGCAGGCTCTCAGAATTGTTGCACTGGCAATTTAGTGCTCCCTGGAGAATCATTTATGGCATCTTGTGGGAGCCCTGAGCAGGCCTGCAGAATACCTATGCATCGTGTCAGATGCTTTTGGCTCGATTAAGAAGCTGCTGGATGGGAGAGACAATGGCAGGACCGAATCAAATCCTTAATCCTCTCCTTCACTTGGGTGAGCAAGAAACTGAGTAGCCAATGAGAGAGCATGTGTGAGCCTGTCTGTTATTGAACTCAATATCCCCGGGCCTAATATCTACTGGAAATAAATGTTTCAAATTAGAGTAGTGCTTTCTTTTTCTTTTTGAAACAGCTAAAGAATTTTTCACCTTTTCTTATGCCTCCTCTTTGCAGTCTCTAAGGTACCACTTGCCCACATGAACACCACCAGGGGCATGCATAAAGGTCTCCATTAGTTTAAAAAAATGACATTTCTTTATAGTAGTTTACCAAGTCAAAACTAATCTGCCCTCTAATACAGCCATGCCTCCAATTAAAGTCCCCAACACTTCCTCTCTTTGCATGATTGTGTTAGTCCCAGGCACTCTCTCTTCACTTTCTTTCAAAAGGTGAGTTCAAAGCAGAATAGCTGGAGTGCTCGGTAGGGAATCTCTTTTCCTTTTGTTCCTCTGCTTATGTAATGTGCACAACCGTCTCCTGAACACTTTCACCCTTCGCAAAGATGTAAGAATGATAGAATGGCACTGTGTGCTAGTCAGTCCAAACTGCTCTGTCAGTCAATACTAAGACAAATGATGAGGGGAAAAGAATGATTTGTGACTGTAAGGTACACACAAATTGATTTCAGAGAAAAAGGAGAGAAGGGAAAAAAGTATGTATGGCAGTGGCACTTTTACTCGACCCAACATGCAATCTGTGTCTAATGCTGCCATCTCAAGAAATGGGGGAGAAAAAAAATAAGATGTAGACAAATCCACACTGTGAACTGTATTTCTACGAGCTTATCTGGGTTATGTTCAATGTTAATCTGTGCATGTAAGTGTGTATATTATTCTATGTTTTGCCTTTAGAAAACTGGATATTCTTCAGAACCCTTGGTAATCTGGGTAAATTTGAGATCAATCTCTATATACAGAACACAAAATAGGTGTTGTTCCCAGCTAATCTAATCTATCTGGGTCTTCTATGGTCACTGACGGGGTTTAGTTAAGCCTGTCTTCTCTGGTGAACCAGTACAGACACAAAGTGAAAAATAAAACCAGTCCTGTCTATATATCTATCTTTCTATCTACAGTTGTGGCATTTTTCATGGACAAACCTTGATACCATAAAGTTTTGTCTTTATTTATTTAGTGTTGTTCAGCTTTAGTGAGCTTTCTTTAATAGGGATTTAAAGGGTATTGTATATTAATGGGCCTTTTAGCCATCCATTTCCATGTTACCCCAGGGGAGGTGGCTGTGGCTTTGGTAAAAAGGATTATTAAGTGCTGTGTCTGCTTGTCTTTCAATTTGTCAGCGTGATTACACAAAAACTACAAAGACTCATTTTTACAAAAATCCATGGAGATGAAGCACACAAGTATAAGGACAGAGTCTCTGAGTCACTGTTTTTACAATACATGACACAAACCTTATCAGAAATTTAAAAAAAACATGCATAACTCAACTTTGAACACAACACAGCACAAACAGGGGCATGAAGTTAGATGTTTGGCCTCCAAGTGGCTTTGAGTCGGATAAAAATGGGGATAGCTAAGTCTATAAAACTACAGCAAAAGATTTAAGTGGAGTTGACTGTGAGCCTCAAAAGTTCATTGTGGACTGGACTGGAAATATTTAATTTAATTTAACAAAACATTTATGATGGAAGTAATGAAGAAAGTAGTTATATATCTAAACTTACCCTACTTTGTTTATTTGTACCATCAAGAACACTACTGTAATATTCATGTTCACATTCAGTCATAACTGCAACATGGGCTTGTTTCATTCTCTTTCTGTTCTGCTTTGGGTAGTAATATGGGTGATAAAGTGTGAATCCACAATTTACTAGTTAGAGAAAGGATTTATCTATAGCAGGCAGAGTAATTTCCTATATTATCTGTGATACATCCTCACCTTCAACCTTTTCAACTCTGCACTCATATTTAATTTCCATGCCTGTTGGGGAAATGCCAAATTAACCATTTCAGTATAAAGACTAAGCCATCTTATTGACCACGCTTTCTCAACATGAAAAACAGTCTACAAAAAGCAGATAATTTTGTTTCACATGTTGAAAAGGTGGGCAAAAACTAAAGCAGTAAAATGTGTTTGCTACACACCATTTTTATCAAAGTGTGTACTGAAACTGTGAAGACAACTTTGTAACTTGTAGGTGACAAATGTCTAAATATTCTGAATTCAAGTGTTGCATTTCCTGTATGCTAATTTAACTTATTTATGTGCATACAATAAATGCTGGTGATGCTTATAGGCTTGAAAGTTTAATAAATCAACATGCATTATATATGGTTCCTTTAGTGTGATCTTTGTGACAAACACAATAGGATCTGGCTTATCTCAGAGAACAATATAAAGGTCTACTGAGCCGGACGCAAAGGAAAATGGATGTCCACCTATAGAACATGAAATAAATCCCAGAATGAAAACTGTGTGCCATGTGAGAGCATAAAACATGCTTCGTGGCACTGGCTTGTGACCCCATTAATAGACTCTCAAAGGGCCTGGAGGAATCTGAAGGCAATAGGAGTTACGTTTTCTCCCTGTCTCGAGGAGCAGAAGAGCCAGGTCCCTTCCTGAACAAGTGTGAGTTTGTAAAAGCCTCAACCTCGTGGGAAAGGCTGGGGGCCTTCAATGTATCTGTCCTACACCTCTGGCTTTGCTTTATTTTCTAACAATAGAGTTGTTATGCAGTTGCAAAGACTCAAAACAAACTGTTTCCACTGATTTTCAAAAGAAAGGCTTCCCTTTAGTTCACCAAAAGCATACAAGATTGTGATGTAATTAGAAATGTTTTGTGCAATGTTTCAAACAACATTTTATCAATATACAAATTGTGTCCATCAAAATAATTATGTGTTTTTATGTGAATAATTGCTTGCATTGATACTGCAAACAAAATCCCCACATCATGAGGACTAATCATTGTGTTAAATGTGGCCTTACCAAACCTGTTGAAGTGCTGTATAATATCTGCATGAAATGTCACAAAGCATCTTCAAATATGCAGCTATAATTTATTTCAGACAGGCCTCACATTTTTGTATTCATTTTGTGGAGAATACAGTCAGGTCTGAGATTGTCTAAAGGCCATGCTGTTTTTGCTTGTTCTGAATTAGTTATTGCATTGTAGAACATAACAGAAAGTCTTTAAAGCTAAAAACAAACCCCAAAAAAGGAGAGAAAAAACAGAACAGAAAGCGTACTTGGATCGGACAAGATAGCATCTGTCTTGGGCACAAACTGGTCACAGCGTAGGCCATGGTAACCCTCTTTACACCTGAAAGAGAGAGAGCAAGAAAAAAGAGAGGATAAAGAGACAGTTTTATCATCAGAAGCAAGATAATCCAAGCTAAAAGCACCAGGTCCAGTAAGAATCATCAGCAGAGGAGACTTTTAAGATAAGGAAAGTTGAGAACAAAACCCTAGACAGAGGAAAAGATGAACACTTAAAAGTGGGGTGCATGCTGTGTATTGGGACGATGGAAGGAGATACAAAGACACCGTTGAGAGGGGTGGAGTTAGAAGAAAGAGAGGAAGGGGAAGAGAGCTGGCCAGGCCCTGAGGTGCCTGCAGCTTCACTGATAGCACATGACTGACAGGAATGCCAGGTCCCCATGGAAGAAATGAGGATGGAGAGTTCTTGGCGTGATGCAAACGGCACAAGCTCTACAGTGTAATGGAAGCTGCCATTGCTAGAACACTCATATAAACAAAGTCCTGGCACAGCCAAAATATTTTCTTTGACTGCCAAATGAATATGCACACATTGTTGATTACTGCAGATCCTTCTGCTACTGTCACAGACACTTCAGATGAAGCTGCATTGTTCGATGCTTTCCATTTGTGCACCCAAAAAAAACACATAATATTTGTTACTTGTTTGTTTTTTCCTCACAATACAGCCCTGAAAATGCATGTGCATGCACAAAAAGGGGAGGTAAAAACACAAGATAAGATACAGTTCGGTACTTCTGCCTTAGCACAGTCAAAATAAAGTCTTGTCTCATGGAGAAGGTGATGTAAGCTTGTTGTTGTCCCCGGCAGGGAAAATGACCTGAGCTTATGGAGTGGGCTGATTTGATTCTCAAGACAATTTGAGGATTTGCCTTGAAGGGGCAGTTTCAACATAAGTGAGCATTTTCGCTTTGTTTAACCAGTCTGCGAAGTATTGTTGGCTTAACCTCAGTGTGTGAGGAAATACAATGCACGAGCACCACCGACAAGCAAACAAGTTGAAGAAAGTGAGCAGCATTCAAGTAAACAGGTCACTCATGTGAAAAGGGTAAAAAAATAGTTTGGATTCTTTGCAATTACATCTGGAAATACATATTTGGTTGCTTGGGCCAAAATGAATGGTTTTCTATAATGAGAAAGGGAAAAACCCATGACAAAATGTATGAATAGTCCTTCTAAATACACACACACTTCTAATCTAAAATTGTTTTTTGTATTTTTGTTTCTCATATGTCCAAGTTTCTTTCTAGCATGGCTTTATTTGAATTTTGTTTCCCAACATTCACAAGGGACATTTTTACACGCTATGTGTCAAGTATATCTAACTGCCAATTTTTCATGTTCACAACCTCCTTTTTTTGTTAATTCTCCATGTCTATCTTTTTGAGGGTGTGGATGCACCAGATGGTTTGTTACACAAAAACATCAGGGGAATTCTTTGTGGGAAGGCTGTGTCCGAATCGTATAGAGCTGGTAAACTGTCTATCAAACTCAAATGAATTAAATCAACGAAGCATAAAGGAAGCATCACAGCTTACCATCACAATACAGATTGGACATCATGGGATATTGCTTTCTCAATGCACTCATGTGCACTAACAGACGAGATAATGTATTGACACTTTCTCCAACTACATATCTTGTATATTCAGATCACGGCATTTTATTTCAAACAAAATGACAAGCAAAGTTAACTTATATAAGGTGCTCAGTATCAGTTAATTCAGCCCATTATTTGCTGCTAATGTTAAGTGGCAAATTCACTCATGACAGTCTTTTTATCTGTGGTCAAACTAACTTCAACAGAAGGAAATTCCAAAATAAGCCCTCATGCAGAAACCAGGTATAAACTCTAACAAATTGAAGTTTGTGCAAAGTGAGATCTCAAGCATAGCAAAGTCGGATGCACTTGATGAGCTGGTACTATCTTGATGAAAAGCATGATTTTTACAGCAATTGATTACTTGAAATTAACACATTAAAATCCCAGCTATAGTTTAGAGTACAGATGAAAGCATATTCGTCTTTCCTGGAAGCAAAATTTCACTCATAATGAGGTTTTGCCGCTGTCAATTTTTCTTCTTCAAGATGAAAGGCGGAAAGAGGACAGTGATTTATCATGAAATACAAGGAAGCACTCAAATAAAATATTTCAGGGGTAAACCATATTTCCCTCGCCATTGTCTGACTCTGTCCTACATCGCGCCTTTCATTCCTTGAGGTTTCTTGTTAGTATTCTGGATCACAAACCCAACCACAGAATGCCTGTCTGGCGATCTGTTTACGTCGGGGCTTGCTTTTTGTTTGTCTGCGTCTTCATCTCGAACCCCCTCCTTTGCCATCTTTGTGCCACTGTGAAACAAGCTCAGCTGTCACTCAATGAGACGCAAACAATGCTTTGTAAATGTGTTTGCGTGAACATGGCACTGAATGCTTGAATGGGTGATAAACAATATGGGATAATGATATGTGTGTGTTTGGTTTATATCTCCAAAGAGAGTAACTGGAGAACCAATGTTTGTATTCATGTATATGTGCGTTGATGCGTTTCAAGTGGGGGAAATATATTGAAGTGAACCCAGACATGTTTATGTATTGAGTACATACAGTATATGACAGCTTCCTCTCCACTGGGATTTTCCTTCATGTCCAACAGTTTTAGAGTTGTCTTTGACTACCCAGCTGCTTTTAACACATGTTCCAGTCGTAGAGAAGCATTTCTGAGACTCAAGGATGACGGAGGGGTGGGGAATTTTGCTTCGTAACTAATCATCATCCTGCCTGTTAATTAGTATGAAGAGAAATAGAGGATGGTTTGAATCTGAGGGGATGGAAAATATGTACAAGGAAGACACAAGTGTGATCAGGTTAAACAAACTCTCTGTTACCTTCTGACACAAAAGGATATTAGCGTCAGGTTGTGGTACAGTATGAGACAATGGATTTGTTATTCTATGGTAAGGCAGAAGAACAGTGTTCATTCTTAGTCGAAGTGTTGAGCACATGATGTGTAGATTAAGTAAAGACTTTTCATCTACCTGATGTGGGTGCTCAGTATCAGCGAGCAATTATATTACAAGGAAAAGAGCAAAAAGTTCAACTGGCTTTGGTAAGTCTGCATATTACAGTATATTTAAATTGATCTTGAGTTTCAGTTCAAGATTAATGACCTTTGAAGCATATTTCAGTCTCTAAGTTTTGAAGGTACACGCCAGCTGTTACCTACTTCTTTCACATCATACGCCTAGCTAAGCAAAGAAGCTCAGGGCCTCCACATGATGCTGACTTTGATTTTGACCATATCACTTGTCTGAAAAATGTATAATCTAATCAGTGAATACATATGTTGTGATGATGCGTTATATTGAATCCAGTTACATGTGACCGGACAGTGTATTTAATCATTTTACAATGAATTGATTCACTAGAAAGTCTAGCGTAGAAACCTACACGTTATCAACAGTGTAAAAAGTGGACATATTCATGCCATGTCAGATAACTTGAACAGGCTCCACGAATCTTTGAATTAAACAGACTCTCAAAAACGAAGAAAAATTTGCTCAAAAATGGCTTATTCAATCCATTTGTCCAACAGCTTGTTATCATCATTAGCCTGCTTTACTCTACTCTAATTAGTCCTTGTTGCAATAATTCTATTATCCAGGCCATCCTGTAGCCGGCACAATAGGTACAAAAGTGGAGGGTTCTTGATGCAACTAAAATGAAAAATCGCACCTGTAAGATCATTGTTTTATTATCCTGGTATATCTCTCTACTCAGCTTTCTACTGACTTTCAGAGCAGAATTACACAATTAAGTCTATGATTGTCCTCAAAAGTGTGCATTTTTGTTGTTAGGTTTCAAGAACACCTTCTGGCATCATCTTCCAATCCTAATGGGTTCACTTTTGGCTTTGTCCTAATGCCAAGGTCTCATTACAGCACTTCCTGAAACCAGTGAGTGGTTTCACCTTTCTTAAATCTGCATATAATTTGGTAGTCTTTGGGTTTGGCTTCTAGTTCTGTTGATACCTATGTATGCAGATGGGATCTTGTGTAGTGTAGTGTGGCTACAAGGAAGTCGGAACAACTTTGACTTGCAAAGGTCAGAACACTCTATTGGAGTAATCCAGCAGATGTCACCCACCACAGACAAATTAGCAGACTTTCTATTCAGTGATTGGTTTGGTGTTGGTTCTTCTGTCTCTTGCTGATCATTGCTCTAACTTACCAACAAGCTGTAAGGATACCCCCCACTCTGACTGAAAAATCCAGTGCTGGTAGAAGCTCCTGAACAAGTATTGACTTCCCACATCTCAAATCATTACTCAAAGATGTCACAACACACAACCTTATAGTTGTTTAACACCCTTCCTGCCCACATGCACATAGTGCACCATATTCTAACTAAAGCAGCTCTAATTGCCCATCTACAATCTGCAGTTGCCATCCATCCGCACCACTGAGGGAGAGGGAAAGACTTAAGAAGTAAACTCAAGAAGGAGAACTACAGCATGCTTTTCAAACTTGGAACTTGACCTGTTGTATTATCTGGGGGGCTGCCTGAGAGTACTTTCACATCGCTTGAAACAGATCATTCCAGACTGAAGCACATTGTCCTTAATTGCATGAATTCTTGGAAATGACTTTGATCTCATGATCAAAGGCCATCATTGAGTGTAAGCAGTTGTCTTGTGACGCTCAGTAGACACTTGTATCACACAAACCATGCATTTTGACTCACCACTAAGTGGCCAAAGCATTTGAATAACTGGTTAATTGAATTTAAGATGGCTTAATTACTTTGATGATAAAAAATGCCATCAAAAAGCTATTTTATTTTCTGTGGGCATGAAAATTATGATGCACAATACAGTGCTAAAATGCAACGATTAGAATGTAGATTATCGAATAATATTAACGTCCGATGTTGCCCATACAGAAACATCTATTGTTAATCTGTACTTCATCAAGATTCTTACTAATGAGCCTCTTATCTCTAAGAACAAGGGTATTAAACTTAAGCAAGGTTAGAGTGTCTGCATTTTTTAAATGCCATCTTGGGTCTTATCTTGAATACATTTTAAGGTTCATGGTAAATAGTTTTTGCATTTTTTTTCCTAGGCTTTGCAATGGTATAATTGGAGCACTCAATTTACTGCAGAGAGAAAAATAAAAAAGCCACAATATTACCATCAAATATGATAAGAATTAACTAGACAAATAAAATATTTTACTTTGTGTATGGCTGTGAGGAAATTCAGCATATAATGCAATTGTATGGTATGCACTATTCTTAAAGCTCAAGTCCACAAGCTCTTGGAGAATCAGGACATCCTGGGGTATCTGCCTTGCACATGTAACACTGAAAGCTGACATCATGCAAACATGCACCATTCACCACGATGGCACTCCCAAAATACAAGTCTGTGACAGGTGCAATTTCAAAGGATGAGAGATAACAGAGAAGAATAAAGGACTGTGGGTAGATGGACATAGTAGCAGAGACAGGACGCATCTGAAGGGGAAATATTCCTCTTTATCTACACATATCTCCTTTTTCATCTCTCTCATTCCATGTGAGTGTAAATAAATGTGTTAAAAAGGGGAAAGGAATTAAATGCAAGAGTAGGAAATTCTATTCCATTTATAAGAGGTCTTACTTTAAACTCTGGCCAAATGAGAATGAATTGACTTATATTATTATTATATGCAAACATAGTTTTGTGTTAATACATATTTGCACGATTTATGATTCACCTACAAACACCCTCTACAACTAGATTTTATCATACTGTCATTCTCCACATAGTGATTCACGATTTAGAAGCTCACCAGCAGAAAGGTTTATTTCCAAATTAGACAGAAAGAAATCAAAAACAAAATAAATATCTATTACAATTTATAACCTGATTCTTAACAGTGTTGTCTTGTCAATTCTAAATGCATGAACAGAATGGATCTGAGCATTTTTTGAGAAATACCTAGGTGGTGATTTTAGTATTCTAGTACTTCCCACTTTAGGGGGTAAAGTTCATTATATTGTACAGTCTCAGCGTGGATACTTCAAATATAGATAAATAAACCACCGAACAGTGGCTTTACACACTGTCTTTTGCTCTCTTTAGTGTGATTAGTTGTTTCAAATCGGACATGTAAGCATGGGTTAGAGGCTTTTCCTAAAATATGATGTTTGAATGAACATCAAACCTCTCATTTGAAACATAAAACACCTCACCAAGATTTCCCTCTGTCTCATGTCCAATCTTCATGTCATTAAAAAGGGAATTCAATCATCGGGGGTTTGGGGTATTTCTTCAGAATGGAAGTGATGGGAAGAGGCATAGTGTATGTATTAATACATTAATTAATATTTTTGCTGAATGTTCTTCCCTCACAGAAAGATTGAGCTGCCAATGGAGATAGATAAGTCCAATTGTTTCAGTAGTTGTGTGAATTATGTATGTGGGATATCCCTAATTTACAACACACACTAATTTTATGGTAAAGGGTTTTGGAAGATATGCTGCCAAATGTAAATTCCTGCACAGTCTCATAATAGACTTGGACATAAAGTGCAGTGTGAAAGGTGATACTACCAGGTAATCATTCTTGTTATGACTTGTGTGTAAATCTAGGAAGCGCAGTAACTAATAGCCAGTTCAGCTAGGTGTGAGTTGTCAAAATCTAAAAATTAAGAAAGTAAAAATGCAAAAGCGATCAAGAATGTCTCAGCTGTAGTTGTTAGTATGGTAAATTATATGTGTGATCTAATACATTTAGAGAGGTAACTATGGAAGGCTTCATTCAAATTTGAAAGAAATCAAAGAGCTTTTGAAAGCTCTCAAAATAAAATCTTACTGTATTACCTGAGATAGTTCGATGACTTGTTTTATTCATTATACCTATCCCTCAGAGAAGGTGCTAGTGGCTGACAGCCACAACACATTCTACTAGCTGCCTCCATTATGATGCAGTACATTACCAATTTAGCAGGAGGTGTTTGAACTGTACCTAGCAATGACATAATGCGATTATGAAAGATGACAAGAGAGAGGAATGAATCCACTAGGGCTTGTGACAATGAGGTGCGTAAAAACTCATTCACCTTGATTTTATTTACATGGTCCTTCAGGACTTATGCCAACGAAAAAGTGATTACGTTCAGCTGAGTTATTCTAAATCCTGATAAGAGAGAAGAGAAACTGAAAAACAACTGTTCTCATTAGCTGTGAATGACTGAGTTACATCTTTATTTGTGAGCGTCGTATTTGACACAATTTTACAAAAAAATGTCAGGAACTGAAGCAGCATCAAGACAGCAGGAGTGCTAGTTATCTAAA